AGATTATTGTTACTGTAGTAGTTAAGTAGAATAGTGGAGTATAAAATACTAGTATAGTATAATATATAATAATATAAATATAATATATATTATATTATACTAGTATAATATATATATTATATATTATATATTAGAGTGGGCCACTGGAATATTGACAAAAATAGACGGGTTTTTCTCAACGTTGAATGTGAGTAGGAAGGTCTAGATAAGCTCATTCTATCCGTCAGATAATGCCGTTTCGTTGAATTCGTTGGCATTATGGAGCAGTGGAGTGTCGTTCACCGTGTGTAACACGCGGTCAACTACACTAGCCTGTATTGTATACTGTATAGTATTATAATGTTATATAATAATGGTACATGCTGTATTAACATGGAATAATTGAAACCGCGAAGGGGAATCCTCCTGCCACAGATAGTATACCTAATAATAAGTAGGTACCTTTTTTAGTCTTACGTGAACCATTTGTGAACCATTTGTGAACAGAAACAAACGAATATTCGATAATGATTTTAATATTATTAATAGCAGGTAAGACAACCCTCCAATAACTGGTTTTATTTTTTATCTAAACCAGTGATTAACAAAGGGTGTTCAGTGAAATGATTATAAAGTTGTGCTGTTAAAACTTGAAAATTAAATAATTTAAAAATAATTTAAGACGTATAATATTACTAGAGAATATAAAGATTATAATATTTATCTGTAACACTTACTGTATACTTAGTTTTGTAAAATAGGCAATGTTTATCAACACTCAACAGTGTGCCGTGACTCGGAATAACTGACAATAATATGCCACGATCGAAAAAAAAATTGGGAACCACTGATCTAAAACTTCCTTGAATCGTAAAAACCGGTTGAGTGCTTTTGATTCTATAAGCCTTGGTCATTCATTTTGCCTTTTAAATATAATAGCTGTTTTACCCTTGGCTTACTGGCTCCAATTATAATACTCTTACAACCCACCTGGGATTCCAAAAAATAATAAGTCTGCAAAATCTGATTTGTATTTGCGTAATTTAGATAAAGTCAACCCAAATAGTATAATATCTGTATTACCTATAGTCTCCCATCTATAATTAATATAATATAAATTTTATAATATGTTATTATTTGATATTATCTATAGTTTCCGATTTGCTTCAGTTTATATTATATTCCAACCATACATCCATACAGGTAAGTATACCTACTACGTTGGTTAAATTATAACCACTTACAAAAAAAGTGTCGTCAAGAGGTACTTCAAGAGTCGAATTTCCAAGGAGCCATGATGAATTGCCTCTGTGACTAATATATATGTTATGCTGGATTTTATTATTCTTCGTAGGATTGCAATTATAAACCTGTTTGAAGACCAAATCAAAAGGTCCCTGAACATAAATATGAATCAGCATATAATTATAGCATCTAAATATTATTTTACTAAACCAGGAATTTTCACATTAAAACGTAGGTTAGTTAAGGTAATTTACATACTTGTGTATAATTAAATAGAATAATATATATAATGTATACCCACAACATTATTTTTACACTTAAGATTCTAGTTACTGGAGTGTAAAAGTGAGTTATTGATATGTAAAACAATAATCATAATATATTGATGTATTTATGATATTAAATAATATCATAAGCAGTACCTATATTCTACAAGTATTTATATTGCAATTCACGACTTTATTTTAGATTAGTTATTGAATATTGTTTCATTAACTAATCATTTGATATTGAATTTTGGACGTAACTTCTAAAATTATAATTATTATTAAAATGTGCATTATCTGTTAATTGTAAGCAATATTTATCATGCAAGATAATTTATCTTAGCAATAATTCACTTACGAATGGAGGAGACGGAAAAATTTTTTTATCCGCAGTCGATCCCGAGATAATAATAATGGTGATCATGAACAGTCTTAAAAACATAAAAAAAATATTATTTTTCATTGTTATTCCTTTTTGCTTTTTTGATGGTATTGGAGAGTATACAAACAGATACTGTTAGATGTGTAAAACCTCGTAACAGAAAGACGCCGTTGTTTAATTTTTGTCGGCTGTTTTCCCGCAATTGTTTGTATTGTAATGGTGTGCGTTAAAATTAAATACTTATTGAATAGGTAGGTATGTTTTTCGTATTATTATACTCAAACATATCACACTGATATTGATTAGTACACACGGATATAGTGACTTATTTAATATAATTATATAATTTCTATACATTTTCAACTAAAATATAAATATATTTTACACAATTCTATTATGAATATTATAATAGGTACAATCATTTTCATTCCTATATATTATACTATTATTCTATGTTGGGATTTATCTTATCGCGGTGTTCCTACCATATCGAATTTTTGGACTATATATGAGTGAAAATTGAAAAATAAAAAGATTATTAGGGGGAGTTTGTGGTGCCTATAACACGTACAAAATCACTACGGTCATATTTCTTTCCTCTGGGTTGACTGATTTCTGATGAAAGGTCAATTCTGATTAAAAAAAAATTTAACTCTGATGAAAAGGTCAACTCTGGTGAAAAAAGGTCAACTCTGGTGAAAAAAGGTCAACCCTGATTAAAAAAACCATACAAATTCAGTTAAAAACGGTACAAATTACAATCATCTAAAACACATTAAAAAACAACATCATTAATTACTATAATAATATAACAAAACACTAATAGTGTATTTATAAATAGATGCGTTTATTTTGTTTTTATTCCTTATGTTTAATTGTCACGATTTAATCAGTACCTATTCTCCTACAAATTACTACATCAGGGTAGGTTAGGGTTAGGTTTTTATTCTATTTAAATTTTTTTATCAAATATGTTTTTTACATTTTTTGAAAATCCTATTTAGATTTTTTATCAAATATGGAATTTATAACAAACACACAGATTTTTATTAAATACTAGCTGTTCCCGTTGCTGCACATTAAAAATGCCGACAATATATGAATATGTTTTGAACCATTGGCAACCAATAATTATTATTAAAATAGCTTAAGAACCCATGACAACCATTTAAATAAAAATTTCCATCGAAAATCTCAAAACCCTTGTTTGAGCACTTCCCGAGGTTGGTCCTCTCCCTTTTTAAATTAGCCTATCTTCTGCCCGGAGGTCTAATCTATCTATACATATAAAAATAGATGATCCTATGCACTCTGTTGCCCATTAAAAATGCCAAATCTATATGAATAATATGTTTTACATATTACTATGGCAAAAATGTATATACAAAAAATTACATTTTGAAATCTCAAAATAATATATAAATGGTTGCCATGGTAATATGGATATATTAGGTATCTAAGAGTTTATTATTCAACAACGGCCTGGAATAACATTTTTTCATAGACCTTATACCAGGGGTGGCGAACCTATGGCACGCGTGCTAGAAGTGGAACGTTGACCAAATTTCAGTGGCATGCAAATATTATTTATCTTAAAAAAAAATATATATTTTAAAACTTTAGTATGTGAAATTTTAAGAATCAAATTTATAAGTTTGTAATAAAATGTGTTTATAAATGTTATAATAAATAATATTTATGATTTTTGTACTCTTATTGCTACGATAGAAGTACAAAGTACCCCACATTCGATTACGAAGTTTATTTTAAATTTACCGATACCGCGACCGGTTGCGATAACAATAACTGCACATTTGTCAGCTGTTCAAACGAACTTATAATTTAGTTACCCGTCAACCGTTGTCAACTATCGTGATTATTGATAAATAAATAAATACGAGTATTTTATTAATATGTCACTTTCAAAAAAAATGAAATGTTCTGAAGAATCAACGAGTAGAAACTTTCAAGAATGGTGGACATTCAAGTATGGTATGATATTCCAAAATAATAAAGCGTTATGTGTAATGTGTTCAAAAAGTGTTGTATGTCGGACTTTATCCGTCAAACGTAATTTAGAAACTATTCATAAAACACTGTTAACAAAATCTGCCGATGAACTAAAATGTTTTATTTCACGTGCACTATAAAATAAAGATGCACAAAGTGATAAATTATTTAAATTTGTTAAAAAATCTGATAATTTAGTGTCTGCCAGTTTTGATGTTGCAAAGTCTATCGCTGTTCGGGGAAAACCGTTTAGTGATGGAGATTTTATTAAAATGTCCTGGTTAGATTGCTCTGATAACCTTTTTCAAGACTTTGATAATAAAGATGCAATTATACAATGTATTAAAGACTTGTCAATCAGTAGAAATACTATTAAAGAGAGAATACTAAGTATGAATTCTAATATTTAAAATCAATTAATACACGATTTAAACCAAAGTTCATTTTTTTCTATTTGCATCGATGAGAGTACAGATATAACATCTTCTGCGCGTCTTTCAATAATTTCTCGTTTCTGTATTAACGATGAAGTTCGTGAAGAACTTATAAAATTAGCATCTATACCAGCTAAAACTACCGGTGAAAATATATGTGAAGTTGTTGTAAATGTCCTTGAAGATATTGGATTAAATTTATCTAAAATTGTATCAGCGTAACTACCGATGGCGCCCCTTGTATGATTGGAAAAGACCGTGGTTTTGTTAACCTTGTTAATTGGTTTTCATTGTATAATTCATCAGGAAGCGTTGTGTGCTAAGGACGGACTAATGCAGTATGAAAATATTTTAAAGCTTGCAACAAAAAAGAGCATTAAATAAAAGGCAATTTAGTTTATAATTAGAAGATGTAAATTATATTTATAAAAGACTCGTGATGTACGTTCATTGGCTTAGTAGAGGCAACCTTTTAGAACGATTTGTAGAATGTTTAGACGAAATTCGTTTATTTTTGAGTGAAAACCAAAAAAATTACACTGAATTAACATATATAAATTGGTTGTGCAATTTAATGTTTTTTACTGATTTTTGTTTGCATTTAAATTAACTCAATTTAAAATTGCAAGGTACAAATTCCTGAGTGAAATTGAAATCAACGAGACTCCTAAATAAGATGAAAATATGAATAATTTTTTAAGTATCATAAAGGAAATAATTCAGCAGTTCAATAACAGGTTTATAGATTTTAAAAAGTTTGAATGTAATATTAAGTTCCTCAGATGCCCCGATACTTGCAATCACGATGAATTAGATTTACATTATTTTGAATGGATGATCATAGATACATTTGAATTTGAGTTAATTGATCTTAAATCCTGTAATACGTGGAAACAAAAATTCATTGACTTAAGACAACTAATCGAAGAAATAGAAATCAACCGTCTTCAATCAAACGTGGTAAAAAATGCAGATACTGAAATTCTTAAAGTCTGGAATTCGCTTCCAAATACATGTAGTACATTAAAAAAAGTTGCTCAATCTATCCTTTCAATTTTTTCGTCAACTTATGCTTGTGAATCTTCTAAAAAACAACAACAGAAATAAAGTAATAAAATGTGTGTAATTATTGCATGCTTTTTCTTGTCATCTTACCTAGTAAAATTCATTTTTTTTTTGGCACTCGAACATATTTCAAAAAACTTGATTTTAAATTTTGGAACTTGACCCAAAAAAGGTTCACCGCCCCTGCCTTATACTAATAGACGGAGCATAGGAATAGTTCCAGCGGGCCTACGTGAGAGCGCTATTGAGTTCGACTATTAATAAATTACTTTGCACATGCACAATATGACATATGTATAATTTCAGGTTGACTGATCGGTTATGATTGCGTTTTAACAATTAATTATTGTATGATAATGGGTTTTAATGTTATCAGATTTTTTTATGGAGGTGATAATAATATTGAAATGATAATTTTCGAAGTCTTTGGAAATTATTTATTTTAGTTATTTTGTTGTGATTGTATAATATTATTCGTGGGTACTTGAAACTTCTAAAGCACACTATTATATATCTATGATAGTATCAGGGTTTGTTGTTGATGTATAACGCGTTATAAGTACCTAATGGATATTGTGATATGATTAATTTGGAATTTATTATAGGTCAATTTTTTTAATACCATAGATAAGTATATAGTATGTCTTATACGTAGACTGAAAACCGTCTCAGAAAAACCTCTCAGAATCCTTTATCTTATACAATGATATTATATCATTGAATTCAAATTTAATACCATCCATTATACAGTGACCCAGTTGTAACCTACTGTGCAGCAGAGCACCTTCTTTTTATCAAAATCCATAAAGCTTTAACAAATATTTAGTATTTACCAATGTTAAACACAATCCTTTTTTTATTTATTCTTTTAAAAATATAATTTTCTAAACTGAACATTTTTCAAAAAAACTATAATAATCTTGTTTCTATGGGCAACTTCAGTGTAAATAATATTATTTACACTGAAGCTGTTTTATAATTCGTATTAATTGTATATCAGTCTGTTCTATCAGTACCTATATTTGTTACAACGAACATTAATTACAGTGCAAAACTTTTTACGTACCTTAGTTTTGTATAATATATAAACATCAGATCAACATTATGTCGACTAACGAAGCCGTGAAGAGTTCGTCCGATGTTTTAATAAACAGTCCGCCACAGAAATCATGATCCAGGTTTTTGAAAACCTCCGGGAAAATCGGCCTAAAGTGTTGGAAGAGAGTGTGGTCACCGGTTTGAAGCTTCACAGGCGATACGCATCGTTGCCTAACATTTCGCTGCAGTCGATTTCCGCTGGTGAATCCCCTCTGTCCGAAACCGCTTCAATGACGCAAGTATTTAGAGATCTGCTTGAAAATTGTCCAATAACCCTGAAAATCGACGATATCAAGAGTTTTCAAAGGCGAAGCAAATCGATGCCAAACATGGCATTCGAAACAAAGTCCATGGGCGATGCACCAGAAGCGATTCCGTCCGTTGATCCATCACCGAGATGCAAGTTTTGACGGGTTCGCCATCGGCTGAATCATCGACTAACAGTGAAGAATTGAGACCTGCTGCTGTAAGAGCTAGCGACTTCGACTCCCTGTTACCCTTCACGTCGGCTTAGCCTTTATTACGCCTGTGTAATACGCCAAGGTGAGCTTTTGTCCTGAGTTCACAGCTCTTTTGTGTCTAGCTAGACGTCGTTTTGTTCGCCGGACACTTTGAACAAATCCTCCGTTTAGGCTCGCCTTTTTTTGGCGTTCGCCCGGCAGACATTTTTTTGTCCTCTCGTTTGTTGAACCGTTTCGTGCATCGGCACCGGCTTCGGCTCTTTTCCGTGTCTTGCGCCACGTCGTGGTCGTTCTCGTTTCCTCTAGTAATACTAGTTTTTACCTACATCTTTTCCACAGCGGTTATACAGCGATAGTAAGTTATACGGTGATATAACCACAAATAAAATTGACCCGCTGTCTTCTAAAATAGACAATGGTCGTCCATTTTCAGAGACTAACTCAATGCATGCATTAATCAGTGTATTGTTGTCCATTTCTATTACAATTTTTTTTCGGAGTTTGTCGTTTGCGCATCATTAGTACCTCAGGTGAGAAATTTGGTAGGTCGTTTGCGCATCGCAAATTTTAACAATAGAAAGGTACCTACTACCTATTACCTATCTACCTATTAGTGACATGACCGGATATGTTGGTGAGATAATATGTATAGACACTGTTCTGTACTATCAATTGTTCCTTGATGGAGGACCTTAAATGTTTTATAATATTATAATTTATAAATAAAATATACTATTTATCAGTTAAAACTTTCATATTTTCTATTAACTATTGTTAAGTGTTAACATTTAATTGTATATTTCTCATTGAATTATCTATCTAAATTCTAAATACTAATGAATAAAGTACCAAAAGCATTAAGATAAATTTAAATCAAATAATTGTTGGTTTAAAAATAAATATTAAAATATTAAATAGGTACCTATGTAAAGTTATAATTTTATAAATGATTTTAATTTTTAACAAAAGTAAATTTTTTAATTTGTCTTATTTTAATATAATATAATATAGGTACGTAAAAGTCTTACCTTCTGTTTTTTATTTTGTTCTGTTCCCTGTTTTTTTAGCACTAATTTATTATAATCATCAGGATGAATTTTTTGTATATGCCTCTGGAGGTTTGATTTATGCATTATGCATCCCAGTTAGGTAACTAGAGCAGTCTTTAATTAAACATTTATATTTGTTATAGTATCATGATCAAATTTAAAAAAACAACTCTTCAACTGGATTTCACTTGGCCATAACAATGCTTAAATGTGAATTAGTTTAAACTTAAAAAAAAAAATATTTAAATAATAAATTAGACACTCGACATTCGTAAAGGTATAAAGAAACAATTTACGTATTAACGAGAATAGGCAGTAGAGTAGTAGACTGTAGACACTGACGCAGTTCAAATTCAAGTCACGAAAATACGGAATCACAAATCATAATAGGTGCCGAACATTATTAACCTGAATATTATCTTTATCAGCTGTAAGCAATACACCGCAATATATATTACATTATATAACTTTCACTACCTCTCGAAAACATCATGTTATTGAAATAAAATTACAAATACCATTAATATACGACTGTACGATCTATTTTTAATTTGTACATATCATTTTTCCCAATATCCTACTACAAGTTATTACGACTGATGGACGTCGGACACTATATTATTTAGAAATATCTAAGAATTGACAAATTTAATAAAATTATTTAATTGCTTAAAACTAATCACCATTAGGTGTACAATATTCGTGGAAATTCAAAATCCTAATCTAGTGGCTAGTACCTACACAACAGACGGTGTTCACAAAAAAAGGAAAAAATATATATACAATATAGGTACTAGGTATAATATAGTATATATAGTGTTTGAAAATTTCATGAAATTTAAAAAAATGAAATATTTCGTGAAATATTTCATGAAATATCTCAAAATATGTGAAATATTTCAGTATTTTAATAGATTTTGTTTTATTTTTAAATAAGTTTTATATTTACATATAATTGTCATAAATTACCTTCATCACTATATGGTACCTGTATGTATACCTAACCTTGGGTATTATACATTTAAATTAGTATTCAAAATTTTTAAATATTTTAATGTTTAAATGATATAAGTAGGTATACAATATTATACATGTATATTTTATACTTACTGAATTCTGACATTAGAATTTAGAACACTGAACATTGTGTTAAAAAAATAAATAAATTGTGTTTTTATTTGAGTTAAAGAAAATTTCAATGTTTCACGTTTTTGTGAAATATTTCACATACTTCAAACACTAAGTATATACCTATAAGTACCTAACAAAATATAAGTGGAATTCAAATAATTCAAATAATATTTATTATACAGAAAATTTTATAGTCTAACTGTTATATTCACAGAAAATCGCAGCTCGTTTTATGTTCGAATATAGCAGATATTTCTAAATATTAAATAACAAATTAAGTGCGTATGCCCCCGGTGTTGAAGGTGGGAACATATCTGATGAAGGTGAAAACATATCCGGTGAAGGTGAAAACATATCCGGTGAAGCATCTAAATGTATAGGTGACAACGACTAAAGACATTCGTCTATATATTTGATTGACGTAGAGATGAAGGAGAAAATAACATATTGTCTATCAGATTCAACGCGTATACCCCCGGTGTTGTCGGCGGAGAAGGCGTTGCAGGTCGTCTAACTTGTGATAATGCCCTCTGCGACTGTCGGTAGGCAAAGCAACCACTATCTTGAGTCTAAATAAAAATTATTGTTTTATTTTACATTAAGTCGAAGTCATAATTTTATTTAACACTTACCATATCTGAATATCTGAAGGGCGATGCAGGAGAGCTCCACGGTCTTGACGCAATCGGTTGTGCATCCTGACTAAAAATAAACATCGGAGGAGTAATGGGTCTTGAGGTAATGGGTCTTGGTGACGGTCTATTGTCATGCTAAAATCAGATTATGCAAATTGTATAAATAATTTAAAATAATAATAATAATATTAAAAAAATATACTTACTAATATAAACGTCCTCTCTGGCGAAATATAAAAAAAAGGTGGGGTATCTTCTGGAGAGGTCGATGCAAGAACTCTGATGTAGCTACCGTGCTACCCCCGCTAAACCACAGAAAACTAGGCGACGAATAATCCGACATCTAAAAATTGAGTTATACGTAAGTCTTTTGAATAATGTAAAAAATAAAAAATACTTACATTTTTCCAGACAAAAAATAATCACGAACAAAACAATAGATATTGCTGGTAAATAAAAATTGTATTCTTGTTTATAAGACTTAGAGTAGACTGGGCTAACGAAAAAATAATTTTTATAAAATGCGCGAAAAAATAATATATAACATGAAGATCACAAAGTGAATTTACGACTGAAAGCGAATGACATCAGTGTTACCTATATACCCACACTCTTTATTCTTTTAAGGGACAATATACATCAGCTCAGACGACCACCGGCGTTGATCATTCCATAATATACCCCTCATATAGTTGGCGCCGGACACTATACGTGTAAAGTATTTATTGTTAAAGGTACACCTGTTCAGATGACCACTCCGTTCATACAGCTTATTTTTTTAAGCTGTTAGGTTTATTTTTTAATATTTAATTCAATATTTATTTTATAAGGTGTTGAACGAGCTCGATCACAACGAGGCGTAATTGAGGTTGCCTCGAATATTGTAGTACCAGACCTAGCAGCAGGCCCATCAAATCAGGCTCAGAATAATAATATAAACGATTACTTATTTTAATAATGGGAATGATGATAATTTTGCGGGAGTGATTGGAAATGATACAGGTAAGATTTATTTTTTTATAAATATTAAACTTTGTTTTTATTAACTTATATTGTTGTAGTACCAACAGGCCCATCAAATCAGGCACAGAATAATAATCTAAACGATTATTTTAATGATGGGAATGATGATATGTTCGCGGGAGTGATTGGAAATGATACAGTTAAGATATATTTTTTATAAATATTAAAGATGGAACTTTTGTTTTTTTTAATAATTTAATATTTTTATTTACAAGGTGTCGTTAACGTTCCGGCTCACTTGAGTCCTATACCAGATATATCGATCAACGATCAACCAGCACGGCAGAGTGTGATACCTAGTGTCGTTCCTCGGGGATATGTAGAGATTGCTTTGAATATATACGTCCCCATATATACCAGCCGGTGGTTCAAACACGGTTTCCAATGGCGATATTCGTATACCCGTGTTGGATGAAAATCAGGACTTGACTGATACAGGTTAGTTTATTTTATTTATGGGGGTAAGATTTTTTTTTGTCATTAGATTTTTTAAAAAGATAGGTCAATATATTTTAAAAAGATTCGTAATCACATTTATTTAATTAGGTTCTTTTATTTTATTTATTGGGGGTCGAATTAAAAAGTTTTTTAAAAAAAGATTCGCCATCGCATTTATTTAACTAGATTCTTTTTTATTTTATTTAAAGATTATATTACGACTGATAAAGAAAAACGTGTGTTCTCCGCGAACACCGTGTCAGCTATTAGAGCCAAAAAGGCACGGATGGATTTAGTGAAATCGTGTGGGTTGGTTGAAATTGCATCGTCCGCGGGCCGTAAAATCGTATGGTATTACTGTAAAAATAACGACAACATTCAAAATTATCCAGACTTTCTCCATTCTATCGAACCGGTTCTGTTAGACCAGTTAAAAAGTCACGATCGGGAACATCCTATCAAATTTAATCTTAAACTTGAAGCGACGTACAACCGGCCCAACGTGAACTAAAAAAAACTAATAACTATGTTACCTAGAAGAGCTTTGTAAGATTTCGAACTTGTAAAAATCGCTCGTTTGATTAAAATACCTCATTTCATCGGCGTGTTTACTCGAGATAGGTTGCCTGTTCGTCGTAAACGAATAGAATCAGCGATTGTTAACTTGGATGCGGAAAACGGTACAGGTACTCACTGGGTAGTGTATAAAAAAATCAGAAATCAAGTTCAATATTATGACAGTTTTGGAAATCTACCGCCTCCATTAGAAGTACAAAAATATTTTCACGGGTGCGATATCAATTTCAATTATAGCAGAGAACAGAAATACAATACTACAAACTGTGGTCACTTGTGTTTAAAGTTTTTATCATGTACACGATAACATTAAACGGGAACTCGAGTGAATTGTCATGGGATATTTTTCCACCGTTGGAAGTAGGAATCACAGCACAAAAATGCCTTTTGGGCTTACAAACAAATAATTCGATACCAAACATCGAACCTGGATGCAATACTATCGGTTTCCGAAATTTAGTCGGGATGAAAGAAAACATAATTATACCTACGGGGACGTATGAATTGGATCAATTAGAGATAAAACAAAAAATGTTAGCAGACTATGTCTCTTGGTTTGAATTAAAAGCAAACAGCAGAACATTATAGTGTATTATTTTTTTTTTTTTTTTTTTTTAATTGATCTTTAAAGCCGACTATGGCCATTAGCTGATTGTAGGGGTTTTTTATGATTGTAGGTTGTAGGGTTTGCAATTGTAGGGTTGTTACACGTGTGTGTTGTGTTTGGCAGAATTTCTATTGGGGCACCCGTAGGTTTCTGCCATGCTCCGGAGTGGGGGATGGCGGCACTTGTTCTCCGGACACCGTGACTTGCCCGGTGAAAAATGCCACCCAGTGGTCGAGAGAATCGAACCCGCGACCGCCAGCGCCGCAGACGACGTGTTCGACCGCTCGGCCACCTCGTCCCCCTAAAGTGTATTATGTCGTGTAGTGATGACGTAGACTTATCAGTTGGAAATAGTATAGCTACATTATTAGATTTTAAAAATAATGTATATGTTCAGGTCAAAGTGTATAAATCGGGCATTATAATACAGTGCCCGGGCATTGTGCACAATGCTCGTCATATTTGGGCAAAGCTGAATCTGATTTTAATTTGGTTACTTCGCCCGAGCATTGTAATACAAAAGCCGGGCATTGTGTACAGTGCTTAATTGTCTGTGGGCAATGTAAGTTTATTGCGATTCCGCGTCTGTATAAGCTATAATTTTTCTTTATCGTTAAAACGATAACGATTATCAATTACATTCCCCCTACGATGGTATCTAACTGTAGGTATTTTAACCGGCTTATATATTTGCCTATATATTACTTGATATTTTTACTACATTTGGAGCTCCGTGTATCTTACAAAGTGATAATGGTAGAGAATTTGTTAACAAGGTTATTGAAGAGTTATGTAGTATGTGGGAAGAACTGAAAATCGTACATGGAAAGCCACGGCATTCACAAAGCCAGGGCTCCGTTGAAAGGGCTAACCAGGACGTAGAAAATATGCTTGCCACCTGGTTAACAGATAACAAAACTAATAAATGGAGCGAGGAACTTAAATTCGTTCAATTTATGAAAAATAGAAGTTTACATCACGGAATTAAGTGTTCTCCTTGACTCCTTATGAGGCTATGTTTGGTACACGTGCAAAAATAGGACTGAAATCTACTTCTCTACCAGAAAGTATAATACATAAACTCAAATCTGATGAAGATTTAGAAACTGCACTGAATTCTATAAAGACCACATATGATATAAATGCTGAAAAACACATTGAAAAAAAATCTATTGATACGTCTTCTGAAGAAAATATCGATATTGACGAAGAACTAGCTGATATTATACAATCAAGAAAGGAAACGATAGAAAAAAAAAGAAGAGAATCGTTGCATAATTTGAATGTTCAAGCTTCAAAAATGAAGACTAACTCAGAAAATCGACTTCGTGAAGGCAAAATTGGCGAAAGCGTTAAAATTAGAATACCTGATGTTGATAAAGCACGGAGTGATCTGCGATCCATTTTAGGAGTCATTATGTCTGGTAATTTTTATAATGAATTATACCTATAGGGATATTTTTATTTTTTATCATGTTATAACTAAAACCTGATTTTTTTTCAGTAAAAAACAATAATTATGAAATTGGTACCACTGAAGGTAAACTTCAACAACTTTATGCTAGAAATCAATTTGAAATATGCAAAGAGTCATTTGTCCAGATTGAAACAGTACCAACAACACCTCCGATATCATTAAGAGAAGCAGCTAGAAAATTTTCTAATCTTTTCGGTCAAGGATATGACTGGTGTAACTGTAAACAGCAATGCAAGACAAATAAATGTAGGTGTAGGGCTGCAGGTAAACTATGTACTTCTAAATGTCACGATAGCTTAAGTTGCCATAATAAATAAAAAAAAATTGTTAATATTCATAAAATAAATTATTATAAATTATTAAGATAATAAAAATTGTTTTATACATTTTCTAATTAATTAATTGTAATTGCCCACTGTGCTTTGGTCATTCTGTACAATGGCCGGACAAATTGTATAATTTTCCACATTGTCCATTGAAATTGGGCATTGTACACATTGTCCGGGCACTGTATTATAATGCCCGTTTATACACTTTGACCGTAACATATACACCACTGGATCTAGTTACGAATCGGAAAATATATAGTTAATATTATGAAAATAAACAGTATAAAAGTGGATTGCAACTTGGTCATCGGTTCATTCTGTGACGGAGCGCCGAGCCAGACTATACACTAGTTTTATCCATCTGTACCTGTAAGGTATAACAAAATAAAATCGTTGAAGTGCCTAGACATCCAGTTTTTTATGATCTCAACACGAGATCAGTAACTAGGGTGAATATCACACTTACAGTTTCTTGTACAATACTTTTATATTATATAAATCACATTATTTCTTATTGAATTGCTTAACCTCTAAAAGTCTTATCATTATCTGGCCTTATCAAACATGCCCCTTTTTTTTTTTTTTAAAAACAAACAAAAAAAATATATTTAGATAATTACACATAAGAATATAATAGTAATAATCAGAACAATAATTTATGTTTGTACATTTTTTTATTTTATTTTTTTTTATAATATTATAAACATATTAAAAATGCTAACATAAAACATCAATTCTCATTATATAATAATATAATGTTAATACCCTATTAATCATCAGAACCATTACAAAACAAACATTATTAATACATTTTTTCTTTTTAAACAAAACACAAAAAAAATATCAATACACATAATCATAACAATAAGAATAATATTGATACGTCATTTCTTCAGTAATAATAATTTTAATAGTTTTTTTTTTTTTTTATTATTCTCCCTATTTTAATTAGTTGAACCATATCTATCAGGAACCTTTTTTTTTCTTTGCGATTTCCTTAACACTTTTTACTCATTCTTTTAATTGTGTGTTTCTTTAATTTCATCCTCTTTATCTAGCCTTTAGGTACTAACTGATGGGAACGTTTCGGTACCAGGTATAAAATATATTATAAAGTCTTTGTAATATCCTGTTAGGCACTTACCTAACTGACGTGAGTATTCCCATAATTTGAATGTCAGAAGAAGCATATAAATAAAAATATAATAGGTGAATTAGTTAAAATATTGAGTCTGAGATTTTGAATGAAGTTTTGTTTGAATGTGTCGATAATTGTCAACTTATTGAACAATAGGGTGTGTCAGAGGGTACAATGATTAGATAGATTATATTACTATTAATTCTGTTTCAACAGCAATCATTATGAGTAGAATTGGTAGAATAATTAAATCACCTGAATGTTTAGATTTGTAATTTTGAAGCATTGGTATCAGTGTATCACCAGTTTTGTGTTACACATGGGTAAATGTTATTATTTTATTTTATATTTATTATAATTTATAAGTATTTAGTATTAATTTAATTGTTATTAAATGAGACTTAGCAATACATTTTTAAATAACATTGTATTTTATTATTCATTAATTTATTACTACGTACAATATGTTATATGTATAATTTGTGTTATGTATTTTATTTTATTTATAAGTGTTAGGTAAATGTAATGTATTTGTATTCTCTTTCTCTACTTAATAACCAAATATTTTATAAACCAAATACCTAACCTTAAATAATTAAATAAAAAAATCATTCGTAATGTAAACTAAGCTTTTTTAACTTGTGTGTTCCTGTACTCATGCTATTATATTAAAACACCATATTATTATCAATGCAATTATAAATTATTTATTTTATTCTAAAAACATGGTCTTTAACAAAACAAAGATTGAAATCCATCACCAATGTTTTGTAAGAATTGTGATAATTATTATAATAACTATATAGCATAATCTTTTAATTTAAAGTTGTTGATATTATACAATAGGTGCATATTCAAATATTCAATTTCAAAGACGTTTAAAATCCATAATGAAAACTTGGCAGCCAAAAATTTCATCACTTTTTGAAAAATACATATGAAATTTGTATGTTCCATAAAAAAATGATTTTGGGAAATTATTATTGCTTTTAAAAATTGACGTATCCACACCATTAGCTGTATAAAATCCCTGAAAGTATAACATCAAGTATAGAAACTATAGATACAAATTGTATTATTAGTCATTCATAGATCACAAGAACGGATTAAGGTGGGTAGGGAAGGTCACGGCTTCGGGTCCACAGCGGATATCAAACAACAGTAAGCCTCGGGAATTTACATTTCCTCAGCCCCCCCAATTTTGAATGTTCGTTTTTTTTTTACCATTCGTTTGTAGCCAGCTTGTATTGGTTTGTAATCAAATTTTTTTCGTTTGTAGAGATTTGGTTTTTTTTTTTAAAAAAATGTTGGTGGGGGGGGGGGGCTGGGGAAATGCCCTAAATTGGAATATTTATCTATTTTATATTTTATAAATTTTGTTTATGAATTTTCGGAACATTTAGTATCCAATGACCCACACGATACAAGTTTAATAGATATAGATATATGCGACACCCCAAACAACGTAGATGTTCCAAACCTTATAAAACCAATGCAACCGAGTAAACATATAGTCATACCAAATGAATCAATCAAAAGACCTCCTCCATCGCCTAGTAACTCGTCATATTCAGCAGCCACCACCCATCATATCGATCAACAGGTTAATGATAATTTCGCACAACCCAAAACATTAAGAGAAAAAATTTTAGATTAAAAAAAAAAAACCCGGCAATTCTCTCGAAACAATCAAAAACAAAAAAAAAGCAGTTCACTTGAAAACATCCACTCTAAACTCAATGAAGGGCCCAAACCAGTCGGAGGTCTCTTCTCAAATAATATCGAAATTCCTATATCACTTTCTCAATACATATACATAATGGAGAACTTCACAAATAAATCCATACATATCCATACTCTGTGTGACGAAGTCAGCGTGGACGTCCTTACACTTCAAAAAATAACTGAACAAGTCAAACCACTGATAAGCGATAAAGCTACAAAAACCAAAATCACTAAGCTATCAACCCTTCTATTTCAATCTCTTCCTCTACAGTAACCATTCACAAACCAACCCTCAAATTCCTGCCATAACTAATCAAAATAACCTAAATATGAGCACATCTATTCAATGGAACATCAATGGCGTCTACAAACGTTCAGTCGACATTGTCGATCGATCATATTGTCACTAGATGTCCAAAATACGCCGTAGCTCGGAAAATATTCAAAAATCCATCTTCTATCCGACTTGCCCTCAGCGAAGAAAACACAGAAGCTATATACAATTTTTTTTTATTATTATATACATTAAACAATAAGTTGTAAATAACCATAATTTTACATTGTTAAAACTTTCTGTAGGCTAATAACCTAAGCTGTTGAAACCTTATCAATAATAAAAAAAATAAATAAATAATAATATTTCATGTATCTATAGTTATTCGTTTATGAATTACAACAAAATAAGGAAATCGCTACATGAGAAATCGAGTAAATATCCAATGTTGTAGAAATTTGAATTTCAAACGCTCATAAAAATTTAATTTGACTGTCTGGTAGAGATTTTTTTATTGATAAAGGTAGACAAACTTATGAGTAATCTTGTATTACATTTTCAAATCTTATATTTAAAAAGAAAAATTTTTATCAATTCTTAACTCAAAATAATTTGCTAATTTTCGTGATTTTTCCATATTTTGTCAAATTTTTGAACTTTAAATGCTTACAAAAAAAAAACTGTGACTAACGATTTTTAATATTTTTCATCTGCCTTTGAAACAATATACTAGGAGCCTTCTATTAAATTTTCAAGTTTTTTTAACCAACAAATAAAATTTTATTGATATTTCTAGAAAAAAAACTAAAAAAAAAGAAAAATGAAAATGTCCTCAAACAGTTTAAAATAAATCAAAATATTTTGAAAATGTTATCGTGTATAGAAAATGCAAATATAAACAACCAGTGAAAATTTCATGTATCTACGGTCGTTTGTTTTAAAGTTACACCAAAAACCAAATTCAATTTTCTGAAAAATCGATTTTGCGTAAAAATTCCCGTTTTTCCTTAATTTTTCTTTTGTTTTTCTTGGCGCTTTTGAAAAGTACTGTGAATTTTAAATTTTGACCTCCCCAATGCACCAACGATATTCACTTTCCAATCGAACAAGATACTGAAGTCGAAAATCGAAGCATTATTTCGACTACTTATCGTGTACACAGACACAAAAATAAAAAAAAAAACACACATCATTGTAAAAATAAATAAATTCATCGTTTCACTCAGAATCTAAAATGGAAACGTTAATAAAAAATGTAATCCTAAAAATAGCCTTCTTGAAAAAAAAATCTTAATTGGATAAAAAGCCTACCTTATTAAAAACGTCATTTTATAGAAAAAATTTAAATTGCATAAAAAGTCTTGTTGAATAAAAAACTAAATTGGATAAAAAATTGACGTTGAAAAAATAAAATAAACATCATCCAATTTAGATTTTTTATTTAACTATGCTTTTTACATTCGATTTCTTATTACCGTTTCTTTTTAGCTGTTTTGTATTGGTTTTTAATGTAATTTTTTCATTGTAATGGTAGTCACTAATTAATTATTTTTTGAATGCTGTCTATCGATGATTTATAGATATAATATGTAACAAAATAAATCATCGTTTAGTTGTAAATAAATAATAATTATTAATAAGTTAAAGTTGATTAAAATTTTCATTTGTTAATTTAGTTATAAAATTTTTATATAATTTTCAAAGACTGAAAAGAATAAACAAAGTATGTTACCTTTATTATTTATTTTTAATATTATACGAATAGTTATTATTATATTTTCAAAGGCTGAAAACTGAAAAGCAATAATTTATATTATTTACTAAATAATAGTAAATAGTAAATAGTTAATACTAATTATTATTAATAGGCAATTAATAACACGATTAGTAGCTGTTAATTGTTATTCCGTCTTCGGTGTCGTTCCATCAGTCGACAGCCGTATGCCGGTATCGTGTATTCAAGGTTATTATTATGTTTTTATTTTTTTTTTAATTACTATACGATTTTACTAAAATGCATTTCTAATTAGGTATTACTTGTAAGACGATAGTAAACTTCTTTTAATTTAAAAAATAATTGTTTTTTTTTTTTATATAACAGGATAGTTACTTTTCTATTTGAAAAGTAAAGCGATTTCATCCAATTTTATTATAGTAATGAGCACTTTAACATTATTAAATTTAACTCTAGGTAACAAGTATAGTAACTTAATTACTTTAACCAACACTGCAATATACTGCTTGCGAAATTTTCGAAGCCAGGTTATAAGATACGCTACAAGGATAAATCAATGATACTAATATACTATATCATATAGGCAATAAAATACATGATAAATTCCAATAAGGAAACACGAACCAATAAAAGGTATTAAAAATTATAATAACTGATGAGAACACATATAATTATTAAATTCTAATTTAAAATAAACCAACTTGATTGTTATTACATATATTTATAAATCATAAATAAAACCTCATTTAAAAAAGACCTAAGTAGTAGCTATTGAAAGAATGCTAGTATGTTGTTTGTTAAAGTGGCTAATAATTAGGTACAATTAAATAAATAACAATTATTTGTATTACATAATAATATTATATTCACAAATCATCGATGGACATATTTGGACATTTTACAGTTTTTTTTATCCAAATTTGTTTAAAATCAACAAGACTTTTAACTAGATTTTTTTTTATTAAAAATGGTTTTTAAAAGCCTTGTTGAATATAAAATGTAAAATAGATAAAAATTCCAATTTAGGGCATTTCCCCAGCCCCCACCAACATTTTTTTTTAAAAAAAAAAACAAATTTCTACAAACGAATGGTAAAAAAAAAATGAAAATTCCAATTTAGGGCATTTCCCCAGCCCCCCACCATTTTTTTTTTTTTTAAAAAAACCAAATCTCTACAAACCAAAAAAAATTGATTACAAACCAATTCAAACTGGCTACAAACGAATGGTAAAAAAAAAAAATGAACATTCGAAATTGGGGGGGGGGGGCTGGGGAAATGTACCTGCCTCTGGAGCTAAACATTTTTTTGTACGATAGTTTGTGTAGTCGTCAGTTGAAGTAATATACTATTTGATAATTGGTACTGGCTGCAGGGCGTCACAATAACTTTATAATTGCACTTTTATATTAGTGTTTTGTTTACAAAATATATAATAGTATCGACTATCGAGTAAGTATAATATTACTAATGTTACATTATCAAAATCTTTTTTTATCTCTAAAATATATTTATTTGTGGGTCACCAATATTTTGATTATATTTACTGGCCCCTAAAATTGATCGACCCTGGACCAAGGTTATCTTAATCCAGGCCTGCAGATAGATAGTTTATGACTTAATAAATTGAAACTATAAAATAAAGTATATCCGATAATATTATACATCTCTGAGTGACACAACAAAAACAAATTATTGGCATATTATGTCTGCGTAAGTGTACTTTAGAGGGCTCATTTAAAAATACCCTTGTCCTTTAGGTAAAATAAATTATTATTTGAAACAAATGCAATAATATCTTGTAATAAAACATTATATTTTATTTTTAGCATCTTTAGTGTTATGTATTATGTTATTCCTACTCACTGATTGTTTCAATTTATTTTGATACATATTTTATGGTTTGTTTAAATGTATGGTATTGTTTGTTAATTATCTCGCGTTCTATCTATCTACCTTCAATATTACCATAAAGAAGACACAAAAATAACGAAAGTCAAATGATATGTATATTACCCGTAAATAAAATGGTTTGTCTGACCTCAAGTGAGGTGTTTCTAAACGTGCTATCTCGATTTTCCATAAAATTGAGTTATTTATTGATTCCTATGGAAAAAATGGCAAGAAATCGATTAAGTAAACCATTATTTTTTGTCAAAACGTCTCCAAGATGAAATTGAGCTTAAGCTATTACTTTTGTTTCAAGAGGCGTTAATTCCAATAGATTTTTTTTCCAAAACGTAATAGGTATTTATTTTCCTTAAAAACGTGATATTTCCTGTACTAAACCATAGGTCATACTTTTCATATTTTTCTAATATGTAGTGTATTCATAACCATAAGTTTATATCGGTTTCACATCAAAACGTGTTACTACCTATGTTATTGACATAGCAATTAAACTACATTTAATTCAAAAGGCCCAAAAGTCAATATACCTACTGTTAAATCCGTTGAAATTAAAATATTATTCCATTGATTCATAATAAAATATGATATGGTTTAGTGCAAAACCAACAATAAAATTATAAATAGGAAAATATTATGAATCAAACCGATATAATTCTTCCAATGTCAAATAAATTTGTGTGGATAATAGGTAATTAGTAGCTCACAATAAATATAATAATTATAATATCAACAGCTTAGGTTTTTACCGGAGGTATAGGACAGTCAACATTTTTAAATCCGGAACCATGCTTGAATGCAGTCCATATGTTTCCCATTAATTGTTTTAACGTTGGGCATGCGTTTGGCGACTTAGATACAAATACATTTTCTTTCCACCTTCCGAATGAATCTTTGAGAACCATTTTCATTTCTAACTACGAAAAAAAGATTACTGGTTATTGGATCACTGGTACCTACTGATAACATTAAGTTTATTACGGCTCACGAAAAGTGAACTTTGACTTCAACTACGATCCATGTGGCCATTTTTAATAAGTGATTATATTATGTTGTATTAATCATTAAGTATAACGATGTAGTAATAAGAAATGTTAGTACGTAAAAACTAGGTTAAGAAAACAATTAGGCATAGGTAATAATAGTAAAATGTACTACAATTCAAATATTTTATAAACATTAAACATATTACATGTAACTAGGTTATGACAACAATAATGTAATAAAATAACAATTAAGTATAATTTAATCATAGTACAATCCATATTATTCGATAGTTATTCAATCTTAAGCTTAAGATAATATAAGGAACATGTAAGAACAGAAAAGTGGTCAGAGTGTGGTGATCGTGTGACTTGATTACCACTGGGCATCCGAGTATAATAAAGTGCTTATATTATTATTCGTTTGTCTATTTGTGTTCGTCTGTGATCGACGTATACAACAATTAATAAACATATAATTGGCACGATTTCAAATGTAAATGTGTGTGGAACAAGTGATCATTAGTGTGAGTGACTGTGTATAAAATAAATAGCTGAGCACACCCATACATGAACGCATATGTCAGTAACTCAGCACACTTAACACACTAATTAGAAATATGAATTTTAGTGAAACACTGAAACTTAGTTTCGTATTTCCAATAATTATATAGCTTACTGAGTGACATAACAGTATGAACACCTATTATAATAATTTAAGAGAAGAAATTGATCTAGGCTTGTATAGGAGTCGATTTTCGATATTTATTTTCAATGTCCAATATTTAGCTCTGAAAATTGTGATATTTAAATAAAAATTTTAATTTGATGGTGTTTGGGAGAAAGTGTTCAAGTCCATTTTTGGTCATTTTGATGTAAATAGTCGATTTTGTAGGAAATTTTGTGCCGCATCGATTGGTCAAACTGTAATGCATCCATGATCATTTGTTATCAATTTATTTTCAAGTGCGTTTTGATCACGGACTAAGATAAACAGGACTGGAAACGAGATAGTCATCTATGGAACTACAGTGTAACGCTTCTGGTACAAGTGCGATTTTAACGCCATCTATGATCCATTCTACAAAATATTAATACATCAGTGTCCAGCACGAATTAAGATTTTGGCATTTGAAATTGCTTCATTCCAAGCAATTAAATTAACCACATCTTTAAATAAAGTGTATTTTTTTCCCTCTGAACATCCCGTACAGCCATCCACATAGAATTTTCTCGGCATTTTAGCGAATAATAAATGGATAATATAGTTGGTAAAATGTAATGTACATTAAATACTAAATGCTAATACCTAAGAGCTAATAGGTGCGTATAAATCACGGACTAAGATAGAGTCACAATAGAGTTATCTTAGTTTATCTTAGTCCGTGGTATAAATGTATTAAACTATTGTACCTAATTTTATTATAAACAGAAATAATATGCAAATAAATATATGTGTAACAAATGCTAAATATTATCAATAGATAGAGCCACATTTGTCCATGTACTACAAGCGTTACACTATGGTTCCGGCTACCCGCACTCCTCCCGTCTATAGTTTCCAGTCCTGTTTATCTTAGTCCGTGGTTTTGATTCAAGTCATAACGGAAATAATTTGTGTTGTGAGAAACCGCCCAGGTCCAATAACATGTTATCACTGTTATGTGATAAACGGCCTGAGTTATTTCTATAATACAATTGTTCGTGCATAAGGGCACAAGTCACACAAACTTTTAGTGAACAAAGGCACAAATCACATGCAAATTTTCAGAATTTAAGTTTCATTGGGCATAAATCCATGTAAACAATAAGAAATTCCTTTTTTACTTAAAAAAAATTTAAAATTGCAATAATTATAACTTAAAATAATTATATTCAATATAAGACATGAATAATTTTGGATTGGGTACCATATATTATGTTTTTTTCGTTTATTGAAAAACTATGATTTTGGACTTGAACCCTTTCTCCCAAACACCGTCCTTTTATTTTTTGAATTTAAATTATTGAGTTTAGTAATTGAAATATCGAAAATTGACTTTTATAAAGGCATACATTAACTTTTCTTCTACAATATTGATAATATATGTATTTATTCTCAAAAAACTCAATAAGCCATATTTTTGGAAATACAAAAATACATTTTCATAGAATTTTTCAATACTATTCATACCCCTTAAATATACCTAACATATAGTTATCGGAAATTTCTTTTTTCATTACAATTGTCAATAATTAATAGTGCTTTGCTCATTAAGGGCTATTAAATATTATTAAATAAATATAATGTATAACTATAACTTTACAAGTTGAAACACAAACAAACAGTTAAACATTGGTTATATTTCCTTGTAGCAATGTTAAATTGCCCTTGTGAGTTATATAAACGTTATGCTTGATTTTGTTGTTCTTCGTAGGATTGCAATTAAAAGCTTGTTTGAATACCATTTCGTAAGGGCCCTCAATATAAATATTAATCATATTATATTATTAAATACGTTTACAAGGAACCCTTCTAATACTGGGAACTCTTGCTCGCCGAAATTTGATCCACTATTCTCTGCAGGGTTCAGTTTGTACAATATTTGTTTTTTGTTGGAATTCAAAAATCAATAACTATTGGGAAATGCATTTAAAAAAAATATTTATATAGGTATTTACTATATTTCATCCCAAATAAGAACGGTAGTCGGCGAAACCAGTTTTTATGGGGAAGCAGTCACGCAACACCCGTGTGTGACCCCCCCCCCTGAGTCAAATATTAGTGTAGTTATGCCACGCCTAGGGTCGTCAACTTTCAAATTGTGTAATGTAGGACAACTTTTTTCATTCACATTTTATACCATAGTCGAATAGTTGCAGTGACTTAGCCAGAATTTTAGAATGGGGAGTGGGATAACTGGAGTCTGGATAAACCAAAAATAAAAATAAAAAGACCATCACTATGGGAGTTTATACTGGTTATATGTTTAAACAATACGGTAAATGGGGAGGGGTATGGTGTATGGACGTATGGCCATAAGGCTTCACTAGTTCACCACTGCATAGTTTAATAAACAGTACTGTAATCATGTAATCAAGATCAACAGAATATAATATAATAATAGCTAACAAAAAATAAATAACATAAATTATTTGATTTCTAACAAACTTAAAAATTTCAGCAAACGCAACTATGCAACTAATAAAATTATGAAAACATAAAAAAATAAAGATTATTCAAAATTGCAATGTAATCTATTTTTGTAAAATGTTGGAATGTAGGATTGGCTTACAAAAAGTTTAAAGCTTTGTAGGACTAGGGCAAATCAAACAAATGTAGAATAGTCCTGCCCAATGTAGGACGGTTGGAAATCCTATAAACGCCCCTGCGCACACGGCGGCCACTGACTACCATTGTTATTTGGGATAGAGTATAGGTATGATACATTTTGTAAATATTTTGGCTCATATTGGCTCATATAATTTTATGTTCTTAATTTTCTGTACGAACAATTTATGTTTACTTAAGCAGAACACTTCAGTATAAAAAAAAAATCAAAAAAGGTGTAATAAGACTATAAGATTAAAATTAGACTGAATATTTTGAACATTCCTTTATGTATAGATATTGATAAATAATGTACCTAAAGATGAAATGTTTTAACACTCTATGATAAATACTTTTTGAAGTATGACAATATAACAAAATATTAGCTCTGATGAAAATTCGTGTTGTATTTATTTAGACATTTTTCGATTTTATCAATAGTTATTTAATGTCACCGTAAAAACTACCGAAAAATTACGAAAAACCGTTAAAAATTGGATTATAATTTCTAACGCTTTATTTATTAAAATAGAAATGAATAAAAAATAACAGTATTATAATATTAATTCAACTTACATGATATAATAATTAATGACAATATAAAATATCCAGACCGACCAACCATCTCCACTCAGAAACGTTTTTCTTATACAATAATGGAATATCATTGAATTCAAGTTCAATACAATCCATTATAGAATGACCCACTTGTAACCTACTGTACAGTAGAGCGACATCCACTTACCCGCTTCTTTTTTAAATCAATACTTTAAACATAGGACTGTAAAATTTCAAAAAAATTCAGAAATAATCAATTGATGGGCATTTGAAGTTGTTTAGTTTCTTCTACCTACCTATATATTTAATAAAAAAAGGTGCTCTGCTAGTAAGTTACAAGTGGGTCACTATATAATGGATAGTATTAAATTTGAATTCACTGATATAATATCATTGTATAAGAAAAACGATTCTGAGCGGAGATGATATGTCAGTCTAGGTATAAGACATATCATATACTTATCTATCGAAATAAAAAAAAATTTACCTAAAATAGGTACCTATAATAAATTCCAAATTAATCATATCACAATATTCATTAGGTACATATAATGCATTATACGTCAACGACAAACCCTGATACTATCATAGTCCATACTCCATAGATATATAATAGTGTACTTTAGAAGTTTCAAGTACCCACGAATAATATTACACAATTACAACAAAATAACTAAAATAGTTATTCTAGGTTTTTTTGTGTAATTTTGTCCAAAGTTGAACTTAAAATTACTATAAAAATAAACTGTGCTTATGTATTTTTAAATTTTTTGGTAACAGAATTAACTACTTACGTGGAATCTTGTTTTTAATTTTCAATCCTTAGATATAAAAGTTGAACATTTTATACATTTTTAACTACAAAATTATTATTCAATTTCAAATTTGATACATTTCGTCAAAATTCGATCTTTAAATGCTTATAAAAAAAATTGTGATTATGTATTTTTAAATTTTTCAACTGATATTGTAACAATAAATCATGAGCCTTGTATTAAATTTTTCTTTTGGCCTAACAGATAAAACTCTATTGATATTTATAGAACAAAAAATTAAAAAA